AGATACAAAAGGCAACTGTCAACCAGCTCCACAGGCGGCCCCGTCCAGGAAACACACAGCCAGAGAAGAGGAATAAACTAAAGTTTTAGTAAGTTGAGTCGCTCCAGGTTGGTGGTTCTGTGTTTCACAGGAAATGACCTCTAGAGATAATATCTGTTGGAAAATAAATGACGAATTAAAGCCAAAGGGAATTTGAACGGATCCAACTGGAAAGATCCAACTTTGAACACAATTTAGAAAAGATTTTATGTTCAACTTAAAAAAATTTGATTGACAAGTATCTTTTTATCACCAGTTGAAATTTTGGTTTATTTTCTTTTGATTTGCAATGAGTCTTCTAAACTATTTCTATTAAATGTTTTGACTCAATGTTCATGTTTTTACTTTTTCATTTATATATAAATACAAAACATTTTGAGTAATTATGTCTTAAACTTTAGAGATATTGTTCATTTATTTCTAATGCCCAGATTTGACTAAAATGTTTCTTTGCCAGCTTCTTCTTAATTCAGTTTTAATGTTTAGTCTAAATTACATTTATTAATTACACTTATTCCATTCTCTAGCTCCAGTCAAAGTTGGAGCAACAATATGTTTTATTTTCTGAAAATGGACGGCTGAAACAGATGTTTAAAGAACTAAACAATAACATCAGTAGGGAGGATTTAAGACCTTTATTTTTAAATTAAAATGACTCACTCAAGAGCTGCTCTCAGGTTGGTGATGTCTTCTTTGAGTTTAAGATTCTCTTTCCTCAGGTTGGTCATCTCTCCAGCTATAAGCGCCCCCAAAAAACAAATGAACATAAATCAGATATTTGTGATTAAGCCAACAGGATTTTTATTAAATCAAGAGATTTTTAGAGGAATTTAAAAGAAACATAATACCGAGGAGAGAGATGTGCTGCAGGCTCTGTATTTGGGAGGCTTCATATTCCTGCTGTCTTTGCTTGGCGACCTCCTGAGTTACCGTGCATCTGTCGCACAGCCCGGCTCTCAGTCTGAGCACAAGGCAGAGCAAAAGCAGGAATTAAAGACATGCAAGGCTCACCTTGGAAAAGCCAGCCTCTTCCTCCTCTTCACCCATTCAAGGAGCTTTTTTCATCTAGGTTTATCATATTATCTGAACACACATTTTTTAGAGGATCAGCTGATAAGTTGGGATTTCTGTAAAACTCTCCAGATTTGATGGCAGAAAAAGGTAAAATTATTTAACCTGATCTTATGTGAAAACAGCTCCAAACTAAAACTGCTCTCCATTAATATCAGATCAAACCCATTGAAATCAATTCAGTTTATTCCTATAGCTTCAATTCACATCATGTCATCTCAGGGAGCTGGCTCGGAGCTCGTCTGCCTGGCTGTTTGTTTCCTGGACGGGGCCGCCTGTGGAGCTG